GAAGCTGTCCCAATTTAATCAACCTGCCACCAGGGAACTGGCTGATCACCCCTGGGAATGGTGCCATATTGAGGGCTCCCTGTTTTTTATTTGTTTTGTTTCCACTTTTTGTTTATCTTTAAAAAATTTTAATTGAAGTTGGCATTCAATATTATATTAGTTTCAGGTATACAACATAATGATTCGACATTATAAAATGATCACCATGATAAGTCTAGTTACCATCTGTCACCAAAGTTATTACAATATTGTTGACAATATTCCCTCTGCTGGCCTTATACCTTCGTGACTTAATTTATTTTGTAACTGGAAGTTTGTACCTTTTAATCTCCTTTACCTATGTTACCCATTATCTCATCCACCTCCCCTCTGGTAACAACCAGTTTGTGCTCTGTGTTTACGAGTATGTTTCTGTTTTGTTTTCTTTTTTCATTTGTTTTGGCTAGGTACTGACTTCTGTTGCTGGCAGATTGGGCACTCAGCAGTAGCTATAGCCAGTCATCCTTGATGAGTGGAAGTCCATGTTGCTGAGCCCATGTATAACCACCATCCCTGCCCCCATGGTCACTTTGTTCATGAGCTCATTGGGCAGTGACAGGGGAGGCTGAGGAAAGAGGCTGTCTGGTATCCACAGAACAGGTTATCCTATCTACATTAATATAAAAATCCTCTTCTCCTGAGGTGACCCTTTGTGGAGCATTCACACAGGACACAAATATCTTCAAGTTTTCAGACCATTCAGAAGGATCCAGCCACATACCTCTTCCCCAGACCTCCTTGTCACTAACTTTCCAATTATGTTCCTTCCAGGTTTCTCACCATCCAGCCAACCCATGGGCCACAGCCCATGAATCAGTATATCTCTTCTGGCCATTTCTCCTCCCAAGCAAAATGAACAACAGTTCACTGATCCAAAGTCTGTCCACTGGGAGGATTTCCTTTCATCACTGTCCTTGAGGAATGTCCCAGAAAAAGGCTGGAGTGCTGCACTGTCCACTTCTGGGTGGTGCCTGCATATAGTGCAGAACCATCTGGAAACTAGACCTGAGTTTTCTCCTCCTCTATCATCTGTCACTTGCCTAGTGTTGTGGTTCAGATCATTCTTTTCCCTGCCCCTTATAAACTTGCAGCTAAGGAACATCAGTGCTAACATGCAGCTAAGAGCAGTAATCAAAACAAAATAATCTGCAATTCACTACTCCTTTTACTCTGACTGTTCTGTGTGAGTAGAGCATAGTTTTTACTCAAATATCACTTTGTCAATGAGGAGACACAATTTCTATGGGGGACACACCCTGAGTCGACCCCCAGTTAGTCTTCCATTGTAAGAAATGTGGATAGAAACTGTGGTTTGCTTCTAACTGATAAAATAGGAAAAAAGCAATGGGCTATCACTCCATTAATTAGGTTGCTTATTTATATAGATTGTGTTATATAAGACTCAGTCTCAGCAGAATGGAGACTCTTCCTTGCTGATGGTGAAGAAACTGCCATGTTGTAAGATGACTTCTAAGTGGGTCATGGGGCAAGAAACTGCTGTCAGCTCCAATTGCTGAGAGTGGCTCTGGCTATCAGGTGGTCAGGAGCCAGGGCTCTCAGTCCTACCACCACAAGGAAATGAATTCTACCAATGACTTCCGGGAGCTTGGGAGATGATTTTTTCCAAGCCTGCAGATGAGAATGCAGCCTGGCCAACACCTTGATTGAGCAAAGTATAAGCCTACTGACCTATAGAAGCCGTGAGATAATAAATCTGCTGTTTTAAGCTATTAAGTTTACGGTCATTGTTAAACAGAAACAGAAAAGTCACCTAATGGAAACCCTTCCCTAATCACTGTATTTGAAGTTGGTATCCCTCTCCTTGCTGCATGCACTCTGTTTAACTTTTTCTTCCACCAAAATTTTCACTATCTCCCAAAGTATACAACTAACTAATTTATATATGTCTTAATGTCTGTCTTTCTCAACTCTCATGAACATTTCAAGAAACAAACAGGCTTTTTCTCTTCCGTGTCACAGATGTATCAACCATGCTTAGAATAACAGCTGACACACAATGTACACTCAATTAATACTTGCTGAGAGATAAATGGATATATGCATCGCAGCCAAGTCAGCCCAACCTAAAAGCACAGATTGAAAACCATAGAGCAGAGTAGCTTGGTGCTTCTTGACAACCTCTACAAGACTAAAGCAACATATACATTCTAAATATACACAGTTCTCTAAATGCACATCTAGAGTCTTATTCCAGCCATGTCAATCACTCACTTATTCACAGAAAACACAACTGGGTACTGGCATTTGGTAATTGATGGACTCTTTGATCTTTAACTACTATGTCAATGGAAACAGGTAATTCAAATCATAATGGTTAATTTGAAACAGTAAATAGTGAAATCCTTGGCATTTCATATACTTCCTTTAGAAAAGCTTTGCTTTTTGTTAGAAACATTATATTTTTAACTTACTATTATATATACATATATATAATAGAAATTAATTTATATCCTAAAGAATTTATTAAAAATAGTCAAGTCTAACTTTCTTGTCTGTCATCTGTCATCTCCCAAAGGATCTTATAGGAAATAAATTGTCTCAATTTGTTAAAATATCATTATTTATAAATAACAGTTAAAAATTTTTTGAACAATTTTACATTGGTATTTCAACTTTTTTTTTGCTTTATTTCATTTGGCACTTTGAGTCTTTTAAGTGTTTATTTTAGAGAATCTAGCTTCTATTTTCTTTCAAATTCTGTTAACATCCTCCTCCTAGGGCAAAACCCTCTCTTGATTGAATGCCTCTTTCTTACAATGGCAGGTAGTATTTCTTGGTAAAGGTAATATCCTTTAGGCCACTCAATTATGCACATCAAATAAGTCACCAAGTCTGCTTTTTATCCCTACTGCAACTGCCTTATAAAAGGTTCTTAGTGTTTCTTACCTAGACCACTGTAGTATCCTACTTATGCATCTCCTTGTCTTCAATCTTGTTCCAAGGCAAAATTTCATGCATACTGATCCCAAATGATTCTTGATAAAATGAAAATCCCATTGTAGCATTGCATTGTTTAAAATCCTTCAGTGTTTCCTCCAGGCACATTTCATAATGTGATAGGTTTGGTTTGGTTAGACCCTGTAATTCACCAGTTCTCATCACCTCTACACATACAATCTGTTTTAACCATACTGCATTTTTTTTTTTTTTAGAATACGCATGCTCCTATTTCTACATTTACACAAAATTTCCCTGAAATAATCTCTCACCTCCAACATCCAACCCTTCTTCTTCATGTTTTTTTATATCCTTGAAGATTCAAATCAGATGTCACTTTTCACAGGTAACCTTCTTGGGATTTTTTGGGCACACCTCTTCTGTCCTTACATTGCACAATAAAAATACCTCAATCAATGATTGCTATTATCTCTTCCTGTGTGTGTTCTCTTATTTCTGCAAAATGCATATACACAAACACTCACATACACTTACTCACATACTCACAGACACACAGACACAAGCCATATAAAGGTAAAGACATTTTGTTTACTCTTTTTTTAAAAATCCCAGCCATTTTAACAGAGTGACTGTCACTAGTGCTCAATAACTCTCTGTTGAATAAGGCCTGATATGACTTCAAAGTTTTAGGAAATAGAGGTGACCAAGATTATGAATACCTAAAATTTAGAGCTAAAACTTTCTTGCCCTATTATACTCTAAATCTAGATTTTTTTATGATCATATTCTATATTATTTTAAAATAATTATTCTTTATTCTGGAATAATTTATATATATGTATATATAAAAACCTTATATAAATCCCATCAGTTAAAATATTAGATATTATTTGAAGCTTAAGCTATGGTCCTATGTAGGTGAAATTAAGTAGATATAGTTCAGGATCACCAGGCGTCTGACATTATTTCCTCAGTATGACCAACTGTTTTTGAGGTGAGAAATTTACTAATTTGGAGGGTCTAAGTGATTCACATATAAATCAACAGCTATTTATTGAACAAGTATTTTATATACCAGGCATTGTTATAACCTCCTGGCATACACCAGTGTATATGCATGAGTCATTTATTAAGACTTTATTCAATCACTTCATAAAAATGTGATCAGTGTATGCTTTATTCTCTTAAGAGTCCTACTCGAAGACTCTGACATATCACAAATGCATAACACCATGAGCCTTCATGAGAAAAAAATAGTACTTTAATTATTTTTAACATACTCTCTCTGTAGAAGACTATACTGAAAATATTTGGGACATGGGACCACTTTGGTTTCTCTTTAAGCATGCCACATACATGGCTATTTATCAATTCTATTCAAGTTGACATTCTCTTTTTCTGGCCAAAACTTTTTCAACCCCAAAAATGAGCTCCTTTAATACAGATGAAAAATATGCCCAATGTAAAAAGAATTTCTAAAAAGCACTATCACTTTCTTCCCAGATCTTGAATTATTTGGGGAATGTGCCTGATATTTGAGGGGAGGGATTGTTCTAAATCACATTAATAGAGGTTATTTGCCTTATGGATTAACATAAAACATTTACTCTTCTTAGAAAATATGAAAAGACCCACATACCTTTCTAATATACAGTGCCTCAAAATGATGAAATTTATTATATATAACTGAAATATACAAGCTAATTAAATTTGTTTGAAAATTAGGGGTTTATAAGACTCCAACAGTTTGATGTGAATTAACCACAGAATCTTGGCAGAAGAATCAGTAAGCAGAGATGAAAGTTTTCAATTTCAATTTAGCTAAGGCTTAGCTATATCCTTAATATACTGTAATAACATACCTTGGCATTTTCACAAGTCAAAGATAGAAAAAATATTTTTACTAGAAGTGAACTGTCACAAATGTATTTTCCTTAGATGAGGTCAAAGAGAATGTACTGGAAAATTCCCACAATAATAATAGTAACTTTAACATTGCCATAGAGCCAAATACTATTAATCATTTCCATATTTCTTAATAGAGGCTCAAAGAACTGAAACAAAGGGAATTTGCTCGAAATGTAGCATCTAAATCCAGGAAAGATGAAAGAAAACAGGAAAAGGCACTCCAACGCCTGCACAAGCTGGCTGAGCTAAGAAAGGAAACTGTGTGGTGAGTGTGCAATGAAATCTTAAGTTTTCTTAAAACATAATGACCAAAAAAAAAAAAAAAGACATAGAAATAAAGGGCACAATTCTATTTATTTCTATACCCAGAATAAGAGACTCACATTTTCATGGCTTTCTGTGGGCTGCAGACAGTAATTTGAATTTGAATTTTATGCAAAGACCTGTTTAATGCACATTTCAATATAAAGCCAATATTCCTATAATTTTACTTTTCAAAAAAAATTAATTTCAGATTACTCTGCTATTTACACTTAGCTGAAAGCCATTCTGTTCCTTAGTGGAAATTCAAAATATTTGATTGAAGAAGAGAACAAAGCACCATCTCATGACCTTTGTTAAAAAAGGAGTTTTGAGAGGAACTATTTTTTAATTGAAAATTTGGAGAACTTTTATTTGAAAGTATCTTTTATAAAAAAAAAAATAAAGGTTAGAAAGACCCTATGAACTTCAGAGGCAAGTCAAAATTAATTTCACTGTGAATAAACAGTAACAACTATTAGAAGTTCAAAGATCTTACACTTTGACCTGCTTCTAACAGTGAACAGTTATAGTGTTACAATTCAGAATTTATAATTCAGGCCAGGAAACTGTTTGAAAAAGAAGACAATTTTTTAGAGTGTTCTCTCCACTTACCCCAAAATAAATAGGCCTCTTTTATTATTGTTTAAAATGAAACTATTTAATAGCAAATCTATTTTATACTGGATATAGTGGTAGGGAATATACTGCTAAATCATAACATTCTTTGGGATGTCAAGTTTGGAAAAATCAAGATAAAATTTAAATGTATTTTGAATCCTCTAGGGAACTGCTGAAAACAAACACAACTGCTCTTCAATCATACCAACCAGATATTTTTACTCTCTGTGGTAAAAAGTGAAAAATTATACAAGTGCAAGTTAATGTTATAGGGAATCATAGGGCCTGTGCAATTTAATGTCCGAAAGTAGCATTTCCAAATGTAAATTCTAACACATTGAGAAAACTAGAGTTATTAATAAGATATGCACAAGAAGCAAAACTGGGGCGCCTGGGTGACTCAGTCAGTTAAGCATCTGCCTTCAGCTCAGGTCATGGATCCCAGGGTCCCGGGATGAACCCCACATTGGGCTCCCTGTTCAGCGGGGAGCCTGCTTCTCCCTCTCCCTCTGCTGCTTCCCCTGCTTGTGCTCTTTCTCTCAAATAGATAAATAAAATCTTTAAAAAAAAGAAAAAAGAAGCAAAACTTCTTATCTAAATTACTTTCTTCAATAACAGTACATATTTCACGGTATGCAATTTTCCCATTAATTTGGGGCCTCTAAAGATGTGCAAAATAAGAAGCAGTATTGTTTCTTAATATCGAGTACGGCAGTGAAATGGCCCATTGTGTTACAGATTAGATAAAGAAAATATTCAACTAAAAAATTAGGGGGCATTTATAACTTCTAAGAAACTAAATTTAATAGAATGGAAAATTCTGCACAGCATGATTCTGTTCCGGTAAAGATGACATTTAGGTAGCTCCTTGTTTATGTGCCAGAGAGTATAGTTCTTTTTATTAAGAACCCACTATTTATGATGTACTGCAATGCCAAATAAGTAGAAATTACATCTTAAGTAAATACTCTTTTGTCCTATACTTACTGTATATTATGATATTATTTATAACTTCAGGGTAATTTTTAAATGTTAAGAACAGCAAGTCTAAAAAAGTTCTAAAGTTAGTATTATCTCTTACTTAATTTTGCACTGCAACATTCCTCTTCGTCTGGGGTAGACTCTCAGTGAACACTGGCTGAATTGAATTATTGAACTGAATTCCCAGCCCTTCTGAAGTCCTATTTTTTTTAAAACTTTCTCATATTCTCCCCATAGTATTAATGATGTTAAGTATTTGTGAATTTAAATAATTTTATTTTAGCGATTCTACAGTACTCCAAAATACCACTGAAGAAGCCATGAGTCTAAAGAATCTTGGTCAGGAAGAACTGGTTGAGAACACAGGAGTGTCCCTGGCACTGCTGTTGACAGCTATAAAAGTAACTTCAAGAGAGCATGACCAACTTATCCCAAACAATAACCAATAACTAAATGCAGTTGTAGCACTATGGAAGGGAACTATACTATATGAAAGTAATTCTCTTACGAAGACTTTAAAATTTGAAAAAGAAATCTTATAATGACATTTCTAAAATATAAATGTTTGAACATTTTTTCCTCAAAAATGTCCTACCTAATATACACTTTTCTTTTTGTAGTGCTCCTGGAAGTGGCCCCATGTTCAAGTCAACAACTGTTACTGTGAAAGAAAATTGTAATGAAATTTCCCAAAGAGTTGTTGTGGATTCAGTTAATAACCAGGAAGATTTCAAATATACTTTGATTCACAGTGAGGAGAATACTAGAGATGTTACCACTGTTGCAGCAGATCCAGAAAGTGCAAATAATTATACAGCAAAAAATAACCAAATTGGGGATCAAGCCCAAGGAATTCACAGACACAAAATTGGCTTTTCTTTTGCATTTCCAAAGAAAGCATCTGTGAAGCTGGAGTCTTCAGCTGCAGCCTTCTCCGAATACAATGATGATGCCTCTGTGGAAAAAGGATTTAGCAGAAAAAGGAGATTTGTCCCTGGTGCTTGTCATCTTCAACCATCTTCACCAACAGATGTGCTTTTGAGTTCTGAGGAGAAAGCTAACTCTTTCCATCCACCAGAAGGAATGTGCACTGACAAAGAAACTGCTCACACACAAGAGATGAAAAAAGTTTCTAGTGAAAAAGATACATTTTTATTACCTTCATTTTGCCAGTTTCAACTCCCTTTATCTTCTGATGCAGATAATTGCCAAAATTCGGTCCCATTAGCAGATCAAATACCACTGGAAGATGTTATTATTAATGAAGACAAACCTATGAGTGATAACAGTTCTGAATTGTTGGGAAATAAATCCACAGTTCTTGATTTCACTAATGATTGCATATTTTTGCAAGCTACAACAGAGGAAAATGTTAAGGACAGTGATGCATCTACAGTTGAAATTGCAAACAAAAATTATGGCCCTGAGATGTTGGCCCCTTCACATTCTGAAGAGGAAACTATAACCTTACATAAAAAAACAGATTTATCTAAGAGACCACGTGAGCCATTTGTACCCGTACTTAACAAAGATGGATCCACAATCCTTCAGTGGCCATCAGAAATGCTGATTTACACAACTACGCAACCATCAATTTCCTATAGCTGTAATCCTCTCTGTTTTGACTTCAAGGCGGCTAAATTAAACAACCATCTAGATAAAAATAAGCTGCCCTTAAATGATCTTTCTTTTCAGCAGAGGGGAGAAGACATTTGCAAGAGACCAGTTTCAGAATGCAAGAACACCTCTCTTGTAGGACTCGCCGATTATGACACTGGAGGTAGCAGAAATGAATGCACCCAAGTCACTCCTCTTTTGGTTGCCGATACTCCCTCCAATAACTGTAATTCTGGAAAAATTGAGACTGTGGGTCAGAGGAACAGAAATACTTCCTGTAGGATCAGAAGAACAAAAAAATACAATTTTACTAAAAATCAAATGAAACAGGACACTCTAGATGAGAAATATAACAAAATAAGGTTGAAAGATACTCATGAACACTGGTTCCATAAAAGTAGAAGGAAGAAAAAAAGAAAAAAGTTATGTCAGCATCATCATGGGGAGAAAACCAAAGAACCAGAAAATCGCTTCAAAATGGAATCAGAAAATAGTTACACTGATATAACTAGGAAAAATCTGGAAACAATTTCAGAAAAGCGGTGTCTAGCTGCAGAGCAATTACTGGACTCGCATCAGCTACCTGATAAAAGGCCCAAATCGTTGTCCATATGCTTAAGTGAAAATGAAGAAATATGTAAAGCTCAGAACACTGAATATGATAGTAATGATGCTGTCAGTTCTAAAAATCACTGTACAAAGAACTCAGTTGTTTTAAATGAACAATCCAATCCAACAATGCTACATTCTGGGAAACCTAATTTAACTTACTCCAGAACTTACTGTAGTTGGAAAGCTAAACTGGCCAGCTGTGGTCAGGATCACAGATGCCTCGCTCTTCAAAACGACATGAGCTGCCTGGGTCAGAACCCGGCTGTCAAAAGAGGCTATAATTCTCTCATTAACGAATCAGAAAGATCCCATCGAAAACGTAGACAACATTCATGTTCTTACTCTTCAGATGAAAGCTTAAATCGACAGAATTATTTACCAGAGGAATTTCTGAGACCGCCCCGGGCTTCCGCTCCCTGTAAGCCTAAAAGGAAACGGAGGAGAAAAAGAAGCAGATTCCACATCGGACCCGAAGCTTTTGAACTCAAAGACAACACCCATTATCCCAGGAAAGGCAATTCTTCCTCACGTCACCAGGATGAGTTAGTAAGTGAGGACAAAGACGGGGAAATAAAGGCACAGGGAACTGCGACTGCGGAGAGGAACCCCGACCCAGCAGATCAGGCGGAAGACCAGCAGACCTTGCACCTGGGCAGCCCCGTTGCTCCCGAAGCCCGCGGCGAGGCTGAGCGTTCGGTGATGGCGGCCACTTCCGGGGAAGCGGCAGACATTTCCCATGAACACGCCACATCTGGCCACGTAGCCTGTGCCCCAACGGAGGAAGAAACGGACAATGCCTTGCTGGGACGGCAAGAAAGAAGTGAGGATATAAATATTCACGAGAAGCAAATTCCTTTCAAGGTGCCTAATCCTGAGAGGAGCCTGAGGCAGTCACAGCCGAAATCATACCTCTGCCATTACGACCTGGCCGAGGCCCTTCCGCCAGGAAAGGTGAACGAGGCATCGACCGAGTGGCTGCGTTTTAATTCGGGAATCCTTAACACACAACCGCCCTTACCGTTCAAGGAAGCACCCGTCAGTGGTCACACCTTTGTAACGACAGAGCAAATCCTGGCTCCATTAGCTTTACCTGAACAGGCACTACTGATCCCAATAGAAAACCCTGAGAAATTCCGAAACCTGCCCTGTGAGGTCTACCAGCACATCCTGCCGCCCAACACGCTGGCCAACAAGGTCAAATTTACTTTTCCTCCAGCGGCCCTCCCACCGCCCAGCACACCTCTGCAGCCTTTGCCTCTGCCTCAGCCCTTCTGTTCTACCTCCGTAACCACTCTCCACCACGCTGTTCTGC